CGGGTGGTCCTTTTTTTACTGGTTATGGATCGAGATTCGATCCGGAACTTGTGAGAAATGCAGGTTAACTCCTCTGCGCTCGATATCCCTAGGTCACGTCTCCTTGGTGGTTGAGCGTCGTTGATAAGTTAATGCATTCGACTGGAGAGAATCGCCCATGAAATATGCTTCCACCTGAGAGTTCCTTCCTGACATCTTCAAGTGGTGGAATTTTTTATTATTATTGTATGATTATTGACTGCACGGAAAAGGTCTCCATTAAGCTTTAGAGAGGGTCTAGGATAAGATATGAGCGGACGCGGACTGCCTGGTTTTGAGCCAAACGAACTGTCAAAGCCAGAGCCATACGAGCAGCGCCTATCTTAATTACATTGGCAGCGTTGCTGACCCTCTCATAGTCTGCATGCTTCAATCAGATTTATTTTTATTGTTCGTGAAGTAACCCACAATGAAAATACACCAATATTTAATGTAACAACAATTTTTATTGTAATAGAGTTGTTCATTATTGTTCATGATCGAATCATGTTAACAATAAAACAAATGAAAATACGATAAAAATCATTGTAACAATATTTTATTATGTACATTCATTGTACAGCTAGGTAGCAGTTTTGCCGTTTTCGGAAGAGTACAACATTATAACAATCATTTTTATTGTCGACAATAAATATTAATGTTAAAGCATTGTTTCCACTGAAAATTTCACTGTAATTTTTTTTTCGGGCACTGGGTCCCGAAGAAAATCATTATTATTTTTGGCTCACTCAGTACCAGAACAACGGTCCCAAGCAGTCCCAAGCTATTTCACTCACCCCTGCATGTTCTGCATGAATCCACACACCCCTGATGTTATCTGTCAAACTTTCATAGCGAATCAAAACAAACATAGTGTAGTAATAGAATTTCAACTAGAATAGGGTACGTTAATCGTTTATTTGGGACCAATAGGCTACTAAAGTGGTGAGCCAATTTAAAATCGTTAGTTTCGTATTGATTGTTGGTTGTACCAACAATCAATACGAAACTAACGATTTTAAATTGGCTCACCACTTTAGTAGCCTATTGGTCCCAAGCAAACGATTAACGTACCCTATTCTAGTTGAAATTCTATTACTACACTATGTTTGTTTTGATTCGCTATGAAAGTTTGACAGATAACATCAGGGGTGTGTGGATTCATGCAGAACATGCAGGGGTGAGTGAAATAGCTTGGGACTGCTTGGGACCGTTGTTCTGGTACTGAGTGAGCCAAAAATAATAATGATTTTCTTCGGGACCCAGTGGTCTTAGAGTTACCTCTATGGTTGTACTACCGTTGTACTGCTTTAAGCTAGTACCACAAATTGTACGTTTAGAGGTACTAGATTAAAAAAGTACAACGGTATTAATTTGTATGTCTGTCTGTGGTATAACGGAGGGTTAAGAACCATTTACTTTACCGAGGTCAGATGTGAAATTAAATCTGAAAAACGGAAGGAATATGACTTGTTTTTTCAACAGACTGTACGGTGAATAGTTTTCCGTTCTGTAACTTGCAGGCAATAGCAATCAATTAGCAAGCTGATTGGTGGATTTTTTTATCCCGCATCCAAAATAATGACACGCTTGTGCGGGTGGTGAAGAGGTGCCAGAGTCAAGCCGATGACGAAATGCCGACGCGCTCACCGACTCAAAGACCGACCGGAGTACCTAAAAATCCAGATTGATTTTAGGTTCAACTGATTGACATATCGTTTATTTCCGTGTAGCTTACAGGTATATCAATAATCTGAAGTTTCACTCAAAAGTATACCTACTCTGCTCATTGTTACCTACCTAATTGATACCTATCAGACACTATAAAACATTGAATTTAATGATGATCATCACAGTTTGTTTTGAACTATAATCTGGAATGGTCCAAGTGCAATTTGACCTAAAAGTCGTTATAAGCTATAGAAAATTCTACGAGATTTTTTATTACTAGTTCATATTAGCAGTTATCATTCATGATGTTTTTTCCGTGCTCAGTTTGTGATGATGTTTATGTTGAAAAGTTGATGCTTATCAGGCATTTAAGAACTCATATTGGTTTAAAAGTGTTTAAGTGTCCTTGTTCGGCACAATTTGATAAGCTTGATCGATTGACGCGGCATTTTAGAGCATGTAGAACAGTGAATAAAAATAGTGAAAGTGAAGTGAGCGAAGAACAAGACGGAGGCAAGAGTGCCGGTGAAAATCAGGATAATGCTGAACATTTCGGAGAACCTGTGGCTGACGAAAGTACGGATTCTGATACAGAGGAGAGCAGTGTAAGAAGTAACCACTTAGATGATAGTTTTTTAAATCTTTTGCTAAAATTACTGTCTGACAGTGTCTTAAGCCGAAAAAAGGCAGTAAATTTCATTCAGGAACTGAATTGTTTTGCCAAAAATTTATTACAAAACGTAGAATCGAAGATAAAACCATTTGTACAACCAGAAAAATTAGGAAACTTTAGCGATGCTTTCAAAAGCTACGAAAGTCAATTTTCATTAAACTCTGAGCATAAAATTCAAGCATATTTGCGTAGTAATGGGTTATTTCAAGATCCCGAAGAAGACATCATAGAAAATCCATTAGTACCAATCACTCAGCATGGCGAGCGTATACTAGGGCACAAAAAATGTAAAGTTATAATGCCATGCCTTAAATTTACTTTGAAACAGTATTTTGAAAGAGATAATCTTCTTAAATTGATATTAAACTATATGGATGAATTGAGACACGATAATTCTGGAATTATACGTAATTATATTCAAGCCCAAGCATGGAAAGAAAAGATATCAAAATTAGACCCTGCCAAAATTTACATACCTATGTTTTTATACAACGATGACTTTGAACCTGATAACGCGTTAGGGGCCCATAAAGGTAAAAATTCTCAATGTGCTTTTTATTTTTCATGTCCAGTTCTGCCTTGCCGCATAAGATCTAAATTGACTAGTTTAATTCCAGTTATGTTCATAAATTCTAAATTAAAAAAAGTAAGAGCTAGTAGGATTTTCAATCTTTTCATTCAAAGGCTAATTCATATTCAAAACACAGGTATTGAGATTAAAATGGGGAAAGATACAAATGTCCGTTATGTCAAAGTTTTTCCAATAATCTCCATGTTTACTGGTGATAATTTGTCGCTGAATTTTATTGGTGGATTCACAATGAGCTTCAATTCTAGTCATTATTGCAGGGCATGTTTTTCTTCCCGAGAAGATATGCGAAGCATGACCGTAGAAAATGAACTAACACTGCGAGATCAAAATAATTATTTAGCTGACTTAGAAAAGAATGACGTGAATGAAACTGGAATGAAATTTAGGTGCCCTTTTATAGACATTCCATCTTTCAATGTTATTGATTCTTTGAATTTTGATCCTATGCATGATTTTGGAGAAGGAATATGTCCTTACGTTGTTGCGCTAGTATTGTCAAGGCTTCTTCAGGATATGGCATCAGAAAGCTTAACGTTAAATGTAATAAATTTCCGCAAGAATCTTTTCGATTATGGAATGTACAAGATTAGCAACATACCAGAGGATATCACACAACAGCAACTTAATACTAAATGCTTAAAAATGTCGTCTTGCGAAATATTTTCCTTTGTTGACTTCTTACCTTTAATGATTGGTGATTTAATTCCAGAAGATAATGTAGTTTGGGAGTATTTTTTACAGCTCAGGCGCATTATACATATTTGCTTCAAACCATCATTTACATTTCATGAAGTTGAAAATTTGAAACATATTATAAAGCTTCATCATGAAAAATTCCATGAATTATTCCAAGAGCCTTTTAAACCAAAAATGCATTTTTTAGTCCACTATCCTTCAGCCATCCTGAAAAATGGACCTTTGGAATATACCGATGGTAGAAGAGGAGAAAGTAAGAATCGAGATGTAAAACAATATGCCAGATCCACTTTCAATAGAAAAAATTTAAGTCAATCCATAGCTACCAAAGAAATATACAAGAACTCCAAAAACTCTAAAATTGTGTACCGAGATCACGAATTTTCATTAATGAGATCAAAGCAAGTTTATCTTAGTCAATTACAGGTTTCTAGCATACCACCTATTTTTTCTGGAAATACAATTTGTCAGTATTCAACTGTAGGAACGTACGATGATATCAAATTCACTACTAGAACTTGTTTTAAAAATGAAGACAATTTTGTAAAAACGGAACACATAATTGTCATTGAAGACAACATGTACGCAATCGTGAAAAATCTTACTATAAAGCAACACAATGCAAATATGCAGTGTTATTTTGTTAATGTTGAAGAAGACAATCCGTCTATTATGATAAACTTAAAAAATATGAATAACTTTCCACAGACATTACATAAGCTTAACAATGGTGAATTGGCCCTAATTGACCCTAAATTTTTATGGTAATTAATATTGTTGTTGTGTACTTTGTTTTTTTTTAATATATTTTGTATCGAAAGGGTTGAAAAACAAAAAAAAAATCTTAAAATGTGTCTGACAATTATTACTTCAAATATGAATACATGAGTTAAATAATTGGAAAAATAAACTGACAAGAAAAAAAATAATATTTGTTTTGGTTTTTTTTTTTTGAACAGCGATACTCACTCACTTTTCTCAATGATGGTTGGACCGATTCAAGTACAACTTCTTTCAATTTGTTTATGTCTTTTTCTGATAAACCTCAGATATCTGTCTTCGCAGATGTGGCCAAAAAAGTGAAATTTTTAATTAAAATATTAATTTTCGTTTATTTCTCGGCGATGGCTGAACCGATTCAACTGCTGATTTAATTTTGTTTGCACCTATTTCCAATAGAACCTTGTTGAATTTCATACCGATCAGACGTTTGTCGGTGAAACTTGTAAAATATTAAAATATAATTATGTTAAAAAAATATGGTTTAAAGATTTTTTTATTCGAGATTTGGGTGACAATAACATATTTTCACACTTGTTTAATATGAATCGCAATTCATGAAGCTTCCATTCGATTATAAAAATAATTATTTCCTGGTCAAACTTGCGGAATTTTCTTCGAGTAACGTTAGGGTGGCCATCTTGCCCCACTTTCTCCTATTTATTTAATAGTCACGTAATTCTATCGCATTTTTTTTAATCCTCTCATATCATCTGCATGTTTTGCTTTCCATACAAGAACTAAAAAGTACAAAAAAGTGAACAAAGGATATAAACATTGTCAGAGTGAAATCTTGGAAAGGCTTGCTTATTCAAAGTCGTTTGAAATCTGTCAACAGTGTAATAGCATTTACATCTTCGCGTTCTCCCTGGTAAGTAATATTATAAAAAAAGTGTTGGATGAAATGCATCACATCTTCACATTCTTTGGCGTATTCAATGTGGAATACTGTGTGCAGTTTAAAATGCAGGTCAACTGCCGCAATCATTGATCTACATTTCAAAATAAGATTATCTAATATTACGAAAAATGCTCTTGGGCGCGACATAATTCCAACCACAATTATAAAAGGCTGAACCGTCATTTTCATCTTCTCGGCTATTCGGCGTCGCTGCTCCACTGTTTCTTCAATCAAGGCTTCAGTCTGAAATTAAGTTATTTAAAGTGAAACACATTTAATCAAATAATTTTTCAATTACCTCTAACAGCGATATGAAGGCGGCTCGGCAGGCAGCAATCGAAACCTTTTGGCGTTTCTTTTGTTGAGTGGCAAACTGTTGGCGTAGAATCAACGGCAAAGCATACATGGCCAAGAATACAGATTGATCTTAAAATAAAGTTAAAATATGTTATTTTAAAAATGTACATTTCACAACAAATTTCCATGTTGAAACTTTATACCATTTATTCGAACATTTTCAACAAATGTTGCAACAATAGTTTCTGCCAATAGTTTATCTTCGTCGACAAAATTTTTGTAGCCTTCGAAAATGCTTCTGAATTTTTGAATGAATGTCGGAATTTTCAGGGTCATGCAATCGTGTGACTCCTTATGAACGATTCGAAAGTCAAAGTTGATCTAGAGGAAACAAACGGATTAAAATAACATAAGTTAATTGGGGGAAATGCAGGTAATGTCGGCCTTAGTGTCCCTAATTTGGGCCCATACATAAATTCAGCAATTGACTAAATTTTCAATAGCAACCAAAAATATCCATTAGTACCGTTCCAATGATGCGTTCATCTAGATACAATTGATAAATAGCAGATTTTTAGCGATGGGCCCAATCTTAGATCCATAGACCAACATTAGAGCCATTTTGTATAGCATTACCAATTCCTGCACGTTTTCAAAATGGGCTATCACGTCCCAATCATTAAACGAAATGGTCCCTTTTAAAGCTTCGTTTCTTCTGATTGCAAAACTTGCTTTCCAGCTTTCTGTGATAGCATTACTATCGGAATAACCTAGCGTCTTCAATTTTGATTTTGCACCTGGAAATAGACGAATTATGTAAATCTGTTATACTTAAAATTTCAATAAATTGAAAACATTTATATCGCATACAAGATATTCGAACCTAAGCATTGGATCCTTATACATTAATTTACATATCGAGGTAGTATGATGCATGCAAACCGACGCGGAAAACGAAAGAATCGATTCAAGAGAAGAATAATTTTGGTATAATAAACAACATAAAACTACTATACTGAACGTATTTCTTTTCTTGTAGCACAGTATGAAATTAATTGCACCACTGAACATAACAGATGGTTTTTATCAGTTTTTTATCGCCTCATTTTACAAATGTTATATACCGTACACAGCAAAAAAAAATGTAATATTGATCAACGTAATTCAAGCTGATGTATGAAATAATGATGTAATAGCAAAAAGCAGATACAATATTACATCAATGCATGTAATTTTGTTCGCAAAATCGATGTACATCGTACAATGTGATATTACACAACCGATGGATTGACCTGGTTGCAGCAGTTTCGATGTAATATTCAACAACTTTTTTTGCTGTGTAAGTGAGGGTGACATTGGGCTAAAAAACCCATTTATTTTTCTTAGTTGGAGATGCTTTGTAAAAAACGAAAATTTGGTTAAAATACCTTAAAATATGTAAATGTACACTAGATACTAGACTGTAGATATTAGGAGTACACTTATCATACTTAACTTTACAGCACTATTTAAATAAAACAACTGATTCTTCATATTATCCACACTCTACTCCAGGAGTCCAAGAAACATATTCTAGACATCAATTTATGTATATTCAAGATATTTGCATCAATCTACATTTTTAAATTGTGGCCCAATGTCATCCCATCCTACGGTACTGATTAAGTATGATGCATTTGATCACACACTCATTTTATAAACATAAAACAAGTAATTCGATAAATCCAAGCAAGATCATGAAATGAGATTCCAAAATTGAATGCTTATTGTTAAAGTTTAATTTAACCAAAGACATACATGGCCAGAATCTAAGAGACACAGCAGCGCTGAACTTGAGCAAAGGTGTTGGCAATGCATGAGTAGCCACGCAGATTCGCGAATCGTTTCGGATCGACGTTTTTAGAAATACTTGTAATTTTGTACGCGACTTACTTCTGAAAAGGGTTTATGTAAAAATGATACGCATCAATTAAAAAATAGATCGTGTCTTGGCCGAAGTTGTGGGTAAGTATTGTGCCTTTCAAGAAAAAAAATATGCACTGAGAAAAAACATTTTATGCAATAAAGAAAAATAAATTGAAAATCAAAAAAAAAAAAATACTCAAATTTATCATTTTTTTTTAATTATACTTTTTTTAGAATATATAGCGTATGACCTACTGACAATGTATTTTAGTTATACAAGTCATGAACAAAAAAGTAATGTCAATTTATTGACGAGCGTTTTAGTACAATAATTGTACGTTACTACGTTGTTTTTTTCTTTTAATTCTATTATTATCCCGCATAGAAAATAATCATAAGAAGTGCGTAACAACGTATTCGGGTTATCATCCCAACAGTATTTGGTATTGCATAACAATTCATGGTATCGTTCATATATGGCGCTCGTTTATTAGGGATATCATCACTTTCACTTTCACTATCACTTTAAAAAAAATCTATAACACATGCGTATTTCGTTTACTAATTGCAAACTTTTTCAGTGTCTAGTCACATACTAGACTGTGACTGTGACTCAAACTGTGACTGACTGTGAATTAAAATTTATGTTCGCTAACAGTATTGAAAATATATTAAACAACAAGCTTATCTTAACTTAAATGAAACTTTGTATTATAGCAGCACAGACAAACAGACATAACACTCGCAATACGTTCATCGAACAAGCATTTATCGGTCAATTTCAAAGTATCTTAGTTGGTAGTACCACCACCTGTGGCGCGCATAGTCAATTCCCTTGCGTTTGACGTTTTCACACTACCGCCATCTGTTCAGCGTACTACCCACCACAGTGTACTCAACAGATGGCGGATATGTTTTAGCGACGATGTTTTACAGTGAGAAATATTCAATGTGTTATGTCTGTTTGTCTGTGATAGCAGTGTTCTACAAACTATTTCTTTTTTCTTCACAGTCAGACTCAGACTGTTTACTGTTAGTGACTGATAGCATATATATTCCTATGCAGCTGTTTAAGTATTAATTTCTGTTCCTTAAACAAAAATTATCATCAAGCGGTTAGGCATGAAAGTATAATCAGTATACATACTTAGGTACCAAACATTAAGTGGTTTGACTTTCAACGATTGTTTTCGCGAAACTCATGTGTTTGATTTATGGACTGTAAACTTTAAGCTTTAGCTAGCTTTTATACTGCTAACTTTAAGGATATTTACTGGATTCTTCGTTAAAATATTATTAAGACTGGAAATACACGAATAATTGACTAATAGGGTGAAAATTTCCCATAAACGATAATTAAATTTTAACCTACGAATATCTCGAAAATAACAACACTAGACAGTTTAAGCATTATCAGCTTTTATGTTGTAAATTTAATGTTTTTTTTTTAAATATTTACATTATTTCAATGATAACTATTTAACTATTACAACTTTCAGTAGTATTTTGGAAAATGTGTAAAATAATTCATAACTTTTTTGTTTATGAACTGTCCAACTAAAACACATTGTCAGTAATTTAACCATGTTATCTTTACTGAAAAAAAAATAAAAAATATTTATTTTGAAGTAAACCATTGCAATAATATTTTTGTTTGTATTTTTTTCCGTGCTTAGCACCTAAAGACGCAAGTGAGGCAGCCTCCACACCTGGACCCTACCTATCAATCCATCAACTCATGAACCGGTGACCAAAGGCTTTACTTCCCTTCCGAAGGAAGGCTTTATTTATTTTTTGTTGATTCTCAATTTTTTTCTTTATAAAACAAATATTTTCCAGCGCATATGTTTTCTTGAAAGGCACAATACTTACCCACAACTTCGCCTAAATATATGTATTTTTGAATTAATGCGTATCATTTTACATAACCCTTTTTCAGTAGTTTGTTGCGTACAAAACTAATGAACCATTTTTTTTTCTTTTTTCCTCTGTTCGGGACCAAACACCACTGCGACCAGTAATTTGATCTATTGTAGTATATCACGTGTCCTTAGTTTAGTGTATATCGTATTACTCCATCACTATTGAGAAATGATGAAGTATTCGATTTTTTGTATTTATCGCAAGGATCCGACTCTAACTGAAAGGTCCCGCTATTTATACCCTTCGGATTGTTGGAACACCCTCTTTTGTCGGTCAAAATTGGATTCCTTAGCAACAAAATTAAGGAATGACACTGATAATGACAATGCATCAGAACCCTAATCTTAACCACTTCAAACTAGGGAACAACGAATAGAAAATTACGAATCACATAACCGAAGACTAACTAACTCATTTTTTTCCTTGTTTCATGATCATCCTCGGTGGACAAAACCGAGTCTTGTCACTATCAACAAGGCATAAAAAGTAACAATCACTAAGATATGTTCCTTGGATTACTGAAAAATCCTGTTCCCCTAGTTTGAAGTAGTCAGGACTAGGAATCGGTGATAGATCTTACATCCCGTAACGTACCACGAAAAGGTGATCTACCCACTTTACGAAGAATGAACCAAATACGTGAAAAGTTTCAAGTTTCGACTTGATCGTTAAAGGTTTTTTTTCTTCCTTTGGTTTGTTTTTTTCCGTCGATCTTGTTTTCCGTGCTGAGCACCAATGCTACCGACGTGCCAGGAAGGCAGCTCCCACACCTGGACCCTACCTATCGATTCATCAACTCATGAACCGGGGGCCAACGGCTTTACTTCCCATCCGAAGGAAGGCGTGATCAGAGATGTTATGCCTCAGAAAATCCCGGTGGCGCCGACTGGGATTGAAACCAGGCCTGCTGGGGTGAGAGGTAATCACGCTTAACACTACACCACCGGCGCCGTTGAATCGTTTAACATCGTTAAACATTAAAAAAAAAAAAAAAAATCGTCATTTGAAATGGAATCGCTCGCATAGAAATACGAGCTTAAATGCAATTTTTTTTATGATGTTGGAGTCCGTGTTATCAAATTCCTTCGAAGCATTTACCATTCACTTGTTCGATCTAGTTACCTTCATTTCATTATGACTGTATCGTAAAGCTTAACAGCCTATAACTAAAAACTAATAAACATGCAAAAAACATACCTTCAGATGCTGCTTTGTCAGATGATGTCATGGTCTGCCATGTGGAAACATCTTTGGGAGTTTCTGACTGACCAACATCCGGATCAAAACTGGAGCCAGATGTTCGCTTGAATCGTTTGTCGATTTGTTGCACATATCTATACCGGTTGTACAACAAACCTCCTGCACTTCGCTTCTGTAACGCTGGTATGTACCACGTTCGAGGGTCCTCATCTGGTAGCTCGTTTACTATTGTTTGAACCATCTCCATAAAGTGGTTATGGGTTATATGTCCCTTAGTAAGTTGATAAAAGTGCTCGATCATAGCCTTTTTAATCATATTCCGTGATTCTGGAGGATATATCTTTTTTTCATTTTCCACTTTATACATGTGGAGAAACAGGCGACCCGCCTCATATTTGGAACATATTTCCAGCAGCGTCTTGAAACGATAATAAAAACAAGGTTATACGATAATATTAATAAGAAGAAGGAGCTTACTTCTCGACAAACAATTGGTGGTTCCAAATCGACTTGAACAGCTCGTGATACGTTGTCGGTAGCTGCTTTCAGAAAGTCGATTCTATCTCTTAATTTTGGCAATAGTTGTTGGAGCTCCTCAGGATGATCTCTCAGAAATTGGAAATCGGACAATTTTAATTCTTCACGAACGAATATTTCGGTTAGCCTTTCTAACCCGTGATTCTTCAGAAATAATACTGTATTGTTATCCGCCATGCTGTTGGTTTTTGAACTTTAAATCAAAAGCTAAACCGACCACCGGTCCGAAGTTCAAAACTCTACTCGATACGAAGTGTTGGCTACGAAATATTTTATTTATAAAATTTTAGAATGACGCATACGATTTTCTCAAATTTCAATTCAGAAGATAAAAAATGAGCGCTTCTTATTCGCTTTTAGCTGATCCATATTCCGAAGCATGGAAAGAGCAGCGGAGAAAGCACGTGTCTGATAATCACAACGTTCGTTGCTCGAGTCGGGAACCTAGGGGCACGAAATAACCTTTAACTCCAACGTAGAGGGCACCACGCGAGTTCGAGGGGAAACGTCAGTTTCCATCGGTAATTGTATTATTTAACGATTTTCCACACATCTGAACTGATTAACACCTAACGTATTCCCACAAAATCCGGAAGATCATAACCACTAAGGCACTATTTGAATTTTGCATTTTTCTCTTCAACAATATTCCTGAACACTAGCAGAATCCTTGCAAAAATGATACAGAATTAAATTTTTCAACTATAGATCAAGTTTTCGAGCATCTCAGATGAATCAATTTATCAGGAAAAGTGAAAAAGTGTTCCGTTTCCAATGTCTCAAAGCAAACATTTCTTCTCACAACACTCTTTTTGTTGTTCTTTTTTTTTTTTAATTCTTTATTTAAGAGATTTTTAGCCTTAGGCTAGTTCATCTCTATTTTTGATGTTCTTATATTCACTACCAGAGGTTGAATCGATCGATTAGTTTCTATTAAAAAAGCGTATTGTAAGCAAATCTTACATCTCCTGGTTAGGTGTAAACTTTTCAAAAGACTGATATGGCTGTCCGACGTGTCCATATGAGTTCTCACCATAAAAATTTGAAGATGATCTCGCAAGATTCGGCAACTTTAATAACAAAAAAGTCCAAAAAACTTAAAAATAGAATTTTATTTAAAAAAAATCCTAACGAGCTGCAGCATTAAATTTTAGGGATTATTATCTATCCAATAGTAACTATCCCTAATAAAAATTACCATAACCGAATGACAACCCAAATAATTGAACTATTTCACAAATGGTTTGGATGATTCCAGGAACACGTCGTTAAGCAAAATAACCATAACAATTTTATTAGGGATTCAATACAAGGAACTAATTTTCTTAGAAAAAAAATTGTATTGATCATTATGTTTAAGGTTTGTTACTTTTTGGTAGATTTAAAAAAAAAAGAAGTTCTAAATTATGTCAATGTTAAAACACTTTCCAAAATTTATAAACATGCTTCAACCCCGGGGGCAACAATCAAGAATGTTGTCGTAGCTCACATCAATGTGATGAATATAAGAGGTAGGCTGACAGCACCAGACTACTCCTTCTAGCATTCAGCACTGCGATGCAAGTGTGAAAGAGCAAGCTGTTTTGTTCTGCCATACCTCCGTCAGTTTGCACAAAATTGTCAGAGTGCCCAAAAATATCAAAATCATGTGAGCTATGGTGCATCTATATGTGGTTGACAGAAATAGAGTGCCTCTGGTTTAACCGGTTTAACCTTTGCCAATAGACTTATCTGAAGTTTGTGAAATACACAAGTATTAGTGTAGAACGTTGGGTAAATTAAAAGTATTAGTGCAAGAAAACCTTTGAATTTACCCCGAGTTCTGCACTAATACTTGTCCAATTCACAAACGTCAGAGAAGTCTATTAACTTCTCGCCGCAAGATCTCACTAATACAACCTTGCTAGTGAAGCCGTGTAAAATCGATTTGTTTGTTATTTTCAACCACGAAATCAGCTGTCAAAGTGTTCGACTTGACAGCGGTTGTTTTTTTTTTTATTTTCAACCTGAAAAATACATGTATTAGTGAAACTGCTCCCTAATACTAACGGTGGTAGAGAACTCCTAGACTATAGACTATATGTGCAGCATGTACACTCAAAGAGAAATTAAATTAAAAAAGCTTAAAAAGCATGCAGATTCCCGCTTCGCTTATTGAGTCCGAGCCATGATTATTTCGGCAGTAGTCATACATTATTAAATTCGAAATAATTTTTCCAGTATAAAATTTGATTCTTTTTTAATATTATTTTCAAAAATCAACAAGATTAAAATTCAATAAAAAACAATTAAAATAGAATCAAAAATGATTAAAATTTATTCAAAAAGGATAATTTGCAATCTAATCAAGCATGAATAAACCATGATTATTATTTAGAAAGAATGTATTAATTTTTAATCATTCGATATGATTAAACTGAGTTTAATGTCATATTGGTTAAATTTTTAGCAAAATGGGAATATTTTAATTTATCAGTGTAAAGTAAGCATATCAAGCTCAAGATTGCATTAGGTCCTAAGTCACATTGACAGATTCTCTTCGTCGACTTTCTCTTTGCATCCACACGGCCATGTAAAGATATTTCCAGGTATTTTCAGTAGACAGAGCGATAGAAGAAGCTTGTATCTAGCATCTAATACGACAAACACAACAAGAAACGGTTCTGTGCTCAAATTATCAACGAAAGAGAAAGTCAATGAAGAGAATCGATCACTGTTACTTAACACCTAATGCAATGTTCAGCTTGATATACAAAAAATATACGTAGGAAGCCTACATTTTTTATATATTTCTAATTTTGTTCTAGTTACTCCTCTGTACGTTGGAGCTTTTATGGTTTGCATTTATTTTTATTTATTCTTTTGTTATAACAATACACTGAAGCCTTTTTTTACACGGTTTTTTTTATTTTTGGTGCAAATACAGAAATTTTTAAAATATGTCTATATGGACCATATCATGCTTTAATTACAAATGGCATCAAAATCCGATTTTTTAAAAACATTTAAGCAGGCGAAAAATCAAAATCTCGTAGGTTTTTTTTTACACGGTTTTTTTTTTACACGGGCCGTATCCCCCGTGTAAAAAATGACCTGAGTGTACCTAAAATGCATTCCATACTCAAAAATTCAACGAAATTGGTCAATTGTTTTCCATCGATCTTGCTACCGACACCATGGAGGCAGCTCCCATACCTGGACCCTACCTATCGACGCATCACTCATGACCCGGGGACCAACGGCTTTTCCCTTCCGAAGGAAGGCGTGATCAGAGATGTTATGCCTCAGAATATCCCGGCGGTGCCGACTGGGATTGAGCCCAGGCCAGCTGGGGTGAGAGGTAATCACGCTTACCACTACACCACCGGCACCGCTGTTAATTCTAGCTTTGAGTAAAATGTTATGAAACTTGTTGAAACATTGTGTAATTTTAATGAACCTTGATAAAAAATAACTTTACCAATTAGAGCTTTGCATTGATGTTAATTTATTGGACCCTGAATCTATTTTAATGGGTGTAAGAGTAGCATAATGTTTTCCATGTTCAGATGAAGTTACGATAAACAGATTATTTACTTAAGTATAATAAACGGTTAATATTTTTTAACCATGTGTTCTTCAATACTTTGTACTTTGTAGAAAAGATTTAAAAACGTATTTGTGATTCATTCATGGCGTATGTAGTTTTGTCCGAAAATCGCTAGGAAATCATGGGAAAAAAGCTGTTTCTTTAACTGCTATTTACTTATCATTTTTTATATTGCCGCTTGCACCCCTTTCGTTCTTATCCTCTCAATCTATGTAGGTAGTAAACAGCGCTATTTCGATTGACTGGCAAATTTTTGTCTTATACAAACAACACACAAAAATATATTATGTTTTCATTCCCTTCATTCTCACCCCTCAATTAGATTCACAAAAAATGGTTCTTTGAAATTAGGAAAGAGACAACTTTTTTTTAAATATGTAGTATCTTTATCATGTTACTAATCTGATAAATAAAATTTTCGATTTAAGGTTAAACTTTATTAAAATCCAAGTAGAAAGTGGTGTTTGAGTACTACATAGCACTAAAACTCCAGAAGATACGCAATTGCAACTCGATCTGAAGATTCTGGTGTTAAAAACCTAGTTAAAAATTAAATTTGGAATTCACTTTGGGAGTATTGAATTGCTTCATACAAATTTGGAATTACTTTGGAAAAACTGGATCAACTTGAAAAGTTCTTATAAACTTCCACAAGTAATAAATATAATTTCGGTAAAATATAGAATCCGAGATAGAATCACTTCGGAAAGTTTTAGAATCGCCTTGGAAAGTGCTAAGTCAATTCGTGGAGGCGAACCAGCCCAAGGCTGAAAGCCTCCTTAATAAAGTTAAATAATAATAATAATAAGTCAATTTATAAAAGTTCGAAATAACTTCAGGAAGTACTGAATACCTTCAGAAAAATATACAAGCAGCCATGCATTAATTAGTCATGTATTAGTCATTATGATATTTATTTGTTATCGATAAGCTTTCCCGAGCAGGAACGAATATCTCGATACCTTAAATTGGTATGTATGAGTCTGATATAAGAGGTAAAATGCCAAAAAATAATACCAAAAATATGTTCCCACAATACCATTCCAATACAAATTATAATAATGCAATACCAAAACAATACACAGATATTCTTTTGGTATCAAAATATCAATTTTTGGTATTTACAAAGTATTTTTTTATGTAATTTTTTGGTATTTCTCTTTGGTAATTTACCTCTTATATCATGTTGGTCAAAACCAAATGTTGGTATCTGATCAGAATTAGGTATTCATTAGTTATTTTCTCCTGCTCGGGAACAGGTGAACATGTAAGCTGGTACGTAATAACCAGAAAGGAGAAGTAGACGATCAGACTACGGAAATCGAACGAGTTTATTCTGAAACCCAGATAGGTCTGTATTTCAGACAATTTATAACATTTTCATGAAAACTGATTACAATGTGTCGAACGGCATAAATTCACGTTGCAGTGAAGGGAATCCAACTTAATCTACTTTCAGTACTAAAAAAAAGAATGTCTAACTTTGATATCAAACAAGAAAATATGTTTAGTGCCGCTTTGACGAAAGCATTGAACTCGTCAAAAAAGAATGAAGTAGTGCTATCATTATTATTCCATGACACAAAATGTCCAAAACTAACTATAAAAGGCACGTTCTACACATAAATATAAATACGAAATAAGTCACGGAGTCATTCAGACGCCGCATTTCATAAATTAACGTTCTTTTGTTTGTGGTAGCATCAATAAGATCATAAATGTTACATATCAAGACCAACAATTGAAATGGCCTTAACTCCATTTTGTAAACAAACCTTGTAAGGCCATTTTCTCGCGAACCGAAACCTTCATTCGCAAACCTTAACCACAATCGGGTAGAGGAGAATTGTCCCTGCCTGTGAATTATGTTGGTTTGCTTTTGCAGACTTCGTTTCGCGAGAAAATGGCCTTACAAGGTTTGTTTACAAAATGGAATTAATGCCATTTCAATTGTTGGTGTTGATATAGTGCATTGTTAACCAACTTTTTTAACTCTAAATCTTCTTCTCCGATCGCAAAACGTGCTTCACTTACTTTATAAGCCAGTGCCGTTAGAGCACTTGAGTAGAAAAATAAACTGTTACATATTTTTATCGCAAAACAATACCTGGGTCAGAGCAGTACGGCAATACGTGACACAATTCCAACGTTTTCTCGGCAACCAGCTCAAAA